GGCAGTGTGTGCCGCGGTAAATGTAGAATTGCCTGAGTATAGGGCTGCGACAAGAACTGTTATGAACTATTCACTCTTCACCTGGGATCAGGAACTTTTGGGGGTTGTTTAGGTTGAGGGGTTCTCAGTGGGGCCTGTGAGACCCCAATTATGCAACTGTTTGAGGCCATCCTTAGGCGCCAGGAATGGAACCAGCTGATTTTGGTACGTGACTAGAAGCTTTGTAGGGAAAGCCCAGCAGTATGTCATGTGCTTTTCCTGTAAGATTGAGGTGACTGGAGCAAATGACTTTTGTGCTTGGGCTGTGGCAGCAGATATATCGCCGAAAATAGAGACCGCAGTATAGGGTGTCGGAAAGGTGCTCACAAGTCTGGAAGCTCATAGTAATCTCTCTTTAATATGGAAAAAATGGATCCCGTACTAGAGTGTCTCTCGGGACATTATCCTGCAGATGTTTAGGTTTCTGGATTCTTGTGGTGATAGATTGGGAATAAAAGTGCAGAAAAGCTGCTGCAGGTATGGAATTAGTTAGCCGGGCTTAACTTATTCCGAGATACCCCTGAATTGTAGGTTATTCCGCCTAGAGAGGTCTTCAAGATCCGTACGTTTAAGCTGAATTTGGTGAATAGCAGTAGCCTGGTCATTCTGGGTTTCTGGCATTGTGTACTTGGGCTACTTCACTTATTGGTGTTCAAGAAAATCGGTGCGCTCCGATAAACACTCCAATCTGTGGCACATCTGTTGAAGGGAGACTCTTAGGTCTCTTTGCATGTCAGCCTGTAGTGAGAGCAGCATAGATTTTAAGGTACTTTCTGATGCTGGATTATCTGAGGCTGAGAAAGCTGCTAGGGAGTTAGAGAAGCTATCAGCCGTGTCTGTGGAAAGTGTGTCTGCCCAATGCTGCTTTTTAAATGCAGGAGATTTAGCTGCCGCAGCTCTCTCACCTCTATCCAGATGCTGCTGAGACAGGTTGGGGTCCCTCAGAGTGGCGTCCTCCACCTCACACAGGTTGTCAGGCTCTGTGTGAGGTTGTGTGGCCAGCGGAGCAGGAGAGCGGTTCTGCTGCTCGCCGCCGCCATCTTGTGGGGAGGGGTGAGGCGGCTTCATAAAGAAGTCTTGCAGTCAGCACGATCCCATGTGCTTAGGCTTCTTTCTGGACATGTCCAGGGGGGTCCTAGAAGCTAGATCCTCTGGACAGGAGGTGTGAGCGGCAGGTACCGGCGCTTATTTTTGCTGTTGTGCCTTGATCTGCTGGAGAGCAGAGGAACTAGGGCACCATCACGGGCTGCGGCCAAACCACGCCCCCATGAAAGAGCCCCTTCTTTGGCTCGACTGAAATTTCATCCAAGTTTAAGGATATTATCACCATCATTATTAAAGCTGTATGCTCCTGTTTAGATTTAGAGCAGCCACAGTCTGCTCATCTCCCATCAATTTTTCAGTCAATTAAATCTTAGACCTGTTCTGAATGGTGACTGGCTTCCCCCTGAGAAGCTATTTGCTCATCCAAAATGTTTTGCTTAGTAATATGCTATCAAGGAGAGCTTTACACAAAATGGTCCTCCCTGTTGAAGTTAATTGTAAAGTTAGAGGCCATCTTTACAACCTGTTTTTCCTGACAGGCTCCACCAGGTGGCCTGTGGTTGTATTCATGGCTGTTTGCCAGACCCTTTATGTCTGGACTAAGTGCAAGGCCCAAGACCCTAGCTCCGTACTAATGGATCATTTTGTACTCCATCAACTAGAGCTCAGTACTGAGTGAATGGCTTGTTGGATACACACCACCAGATCTCTTGAATAAGCCTTCTTTCTGTCCAATAGGTGGAGGATCATTTGGCTCAACTTAACTCTTGTGCAAGAAACACCTAGAGCGTCTGCCTTTTGAAGGAAATGCCTGTTTGGTCTCTCCTTGGATAAGTACATTAAAGAGATGACAGGGGCATGAGTACTGTCTTCACCTTAAAAAAGAAGGTGCACGCTTCTGAGGGAGTTTACGAAAAGTTCCTTTCATCCCTCCATTTCTAAGTCTGGGACAAACTTTTGTTGGAAGACAAGGACTTCCAAGTCTGGCTCTAAGCACTCTTCCCAATGAAGGGGCGCCCCCACTTGTCAAAGTGGAAGTACATCTGTTAGCCTTTTTGGCTGTCTGGTTCCATTGAACCTCAGATGTCTGGGTCCAGAGCGTCATTTCCAGGGGCTTCAAACTGAAGATTTGGACTCTGCCTCCTACCTCTCAAAGTGGCAATTCTTCCCACAAAAACGGGTGGTTGCTGTTCAGTAGGTCCGCACACTGGGGGTAATTGACCCTGTCCCAAGCAAGGAATGCTTTCCTGGTGTATACCTGAACCTGTTTACAGTTTCTAAGCCAAATGGAGGAGTTCAGCCCATTCTGGATCTGAAAACTCTAAACTTGTTCTTGCAGGTTCAAATGTTGTGCATGGAATTGGCCATATCAGTAATTCCCTTCCTCCTTTCAGGTGATTCTCTGGATTCAGTAGGATGTTTATTGGCACATTCCTATCTTTCCTCATCAACTCTATCTGTATTTTGCAGCGCATTACAGATTTTTCATCCTACATTTGGCATATCTATGGCTCCCTTTGGGGACTCACCAAGATACTTGCCCCAGTCCTAGCTCTGCTCCATTCCCAGATAATACATGTGGGTTACCTGAACTGTCTCCCATTAAAAGATCAGTCATCCTTTCCTGTCAGCCAATGTTCTGCAGATAGTGCAGAGCTTTGGTTGGATCTTCAGCTCTCAGAAGTCGTTGCTGGGACTGATTCACCAATTATAGTACCTAGGCCTGACATCACATAAAGCCCGGTCCAAGATTTCCTGCTTTAGGGCAAACTTCCATCCCTCTTGTCTGGACACCTCAGTCTCAGGGTTGATCCTTGACGCATATTTCTATGCGGTTCTTAGTTGTTAGAATGTTGTAATTCAGTACAAATGGAGAAAGACTGGACTTTTATGGAACCAAATTATGTATAAAAATTCACATTATTTGTTTAATTTGGATAAAAATGTAAATGTTTTTTAAGATCCCATGTTATAAAGACACGGATTACTATAAATTTAATTTGTATTTTACAGCAATAACACCCTTTATTGAGTTCTTCCAGACTCTCACTGCTTAGTAAATATTTAATTCGTATCAGCAGGGGCTCTACAGCTTGATGGTATCCTCCGTTGTGGCAGTGCCATAAGCTCAGTTTCACTCCAGTCTGTTGCGTCATTCTGGCAGCATGGTACAAACAGACTCAGTCCTTGGGCTGCCTCTTGTGTCTGAGCTGCAAAAGCTAGACTCTTCTTGACATGAAAGATCTGCAACCTGTTTTTGTAGCCAGGGAAACCTTTTCCCCCAAAGACTTTCCCCCTGTCGAGCGTGGGAGGTGCAAGGTCCTTGGCTATCAGAGGATGCCTGGCTTCCCATGAACATCCTGGATCTCAAGCTGATTTAGTTGTTCCTGTATTGCTGGACCCATCAGTTGTAAGGTCACCCGTGAGGAATCCAGTCAGCCAATGCCACAACTGGGGCCCACATCAACTATCAAAGAGGCACCAGGAGCACCGCTCAAAAGAAAGTGGGATCAGTTGCATTTGATGTAGCCTCTCTGTCCCCCCAGCTTCTTATATGCTCCTCATGATTGAGATGGAGAGCATCCTGGTGATTCTCACTGCACTGAAATGGCCCAGGAGGATGCTGTATTCAGACATAATCAGACTCCTAGCAGACTCTCCGTGGGTCCTTCATAATCATCCAGACTGTCTGTCTCAAGGGCCAGTCTGCCATCCTGATTTTCAGTCACAGGATTTAAAGGCTTGGCTTATGAAGATCAGATCCTGAGGAAAAAAGGCTTATGAGATTCGTTCATCCCTACCCTCTTGAAAGTTAGGAAGATGACTTCTTAGAAGGTGCACCATCACACCTGGAAAGCCTATTTTGCGTGGCACAAAGCTAGGGCATACTCTAGTTAGGACGTACTCTGTTGGATGCATTCTGTTCTTTCTACAGTTTGATCTAGATCAGCATCTAGCCTTGAGTACCATCAGCATACATGCTGTTCAGAGACCATCGACCTCATTCACTTTCACTAGCTAATGCTCTTGTACAGGGCACACATCTCTCCTATTATAGAAATCTGTTTCTTGGAGTATAGTACAGGACACAGGCCCCCCCCTTTTCTCTTTGTATGATCTTCCTATTGCTTGACACAAAATTGAGGCTAGCTGAGAGGGGTTATATAGGGTGATGTCCCTGCAGCTTTCTCTTTTTACTAGTGTGTAGTCCTGAAAGTTTCTGAAGGTGCTGAAGGTTTAAGAATAACTTCCACTAACAATTGGGAACCAACTAAAGTGGCTTTCGATTATGTGATCACTATGGCAGCTTTTACATGGTGATCACATGAAGTATGTTAATAAACTATACATTTGCTACCTCTAACTGTCATTGTTTTTCTATCTGTGTGTACATTATTTTTAAAACAATACAATTTTTAATTGTTTTTCTGTTTGTCGACCAATAATAAAAATAAAATAATTCCGAGGATTATTTGCTGTACAAAATAAAATCCTTATATGTCCTTAAAACAACGTAAATGTATTATTTAGGTAGGCAGATGAGTTGTCTTATATTGTCTAATTAACCGTTGCATACTGACACTGCTAAAATTGATCTGGGCATCTATGCACCAGTGACCTCTGGTCATGAAGGGTTAAAAGCCAGTTGAATCACAAACCCATATTAAATATTATTTAAAAACCACTCTAAAATCAAAATTAAACTGACTGAAAAATGTGGTATATACTCTGTATACTCTTTATGTTTTCATTATTGCTATTTTTGGTGGAATAAAGCCATCTATGTGTCTGTGGCCTAAAGGAAGGGCACGGCCTCTTACCATATCTATATCTTATCTGCATTTACTTGTACTGAATAAGTGTTAGTACAGTTATTTGTTAAATACTGAATTGTTTGTTGTTATTCCCTGTCCTAGCATACAAGTGCAGGTGCAGAAGGTTCAGGACAAGCTTTAGCATCTCCTGGATCATGTTTAGAGGAATTCCGTTCTGCTCCTTTCATTGAATGTCATGGCCGTGGTACTTGCAATTACTATGCCAACTCGTACAGTTTCTGGCTGGCTACTGTGGAAATTGCCGAAATGTTTAGGTATGTCAATTCCATTAATCCAATATTATAAATCACTGCGCCTAGGATTATCAACATATGTGCTTCAAAAATACACAAAAAATACAATACCCTTGCTGCGGTTCCAAAGTGAATCAAAATAAATAAAAAAAAGGGGATAGCACTAGGTATCACAAAGCATAAAACAAAAACCAACAAAATGATATCCAAAGTGACTTCTTGTAAATAGGTCCTCTTAATTTCAAATGACATGCAAAATTATACAAATAGTGTCCAGTATGTTCCAAGTTAAATGAACTTCAGTGCTCTAAAAAGAGATAAAGACCACAAGCAGGGATCATAGCGCAACCAATTTATTAAAAACCGTCCCAGACATATAAGAGGGCATAATTTAAATTTTTTAGTGCCTAAATTTGGCACCCAGTGTATTCCAGCAATGTAAAATATGTAAGTGAATCAATTAATGCAAACACAAAATATATTAAATATAAACAATAAAAATTACCAAAAAAAATAAAATACTCTACAGGCTGCAAGCTATACGCTTCAAAGTGAATTCACACCACTTTCCAAAAATCTAAAGCGTGTAACGCAACCCAAATAAACGATAAAGTCCAATATATATCCACACCATGTGTAACTAGAGTGAAGTCCATATAACATAAAATTCAGTGCTCTTCCTGCTTCCACCACCAAATATCAGATGGCTACTCATCTCAAATACATGACCCCTGCATTACCAGTCAGGTCATAAAACGCTTTTTCGCTCTTGGGGCAGTTGACTTCTAAATGTGAATAGCAAGTATCTCTTCCCCGTTCACATGGAACACTCAATGGCAGGACTATATGTGTAGAAAGAGAATACAGAATCTAGTGCTCTCTGTATAAATCACAATTATTATTATTATTATACAGGATTTATATAGTGCCAACAGTTTGCTCAGTGTTTAACAACGTGAGAGCAAACAGTACAGTTACAATACAATTGAATACAGGAGGAATCAGAGGGCCCTGCTTGTTAGAGCTTACAATCTAAAAGGGGAGGGTGAAGTGATACCTGTGGGGGATGAGCTGATGGAGAAAATACATGTATAGTTGTTAGGTGGAGGCAGGATAGGCTTCTTTGAAGAGAAAAGTTATCAGGGATCGCCTAAAAGTGGACAGAGTAAGAGATAGTCGGACAGATTGGGGTAGGGAATTCCATAGGATGGGAGAGGCTCGGGAGAAGTCCTGCAGGTGAGCATGGAAGGAGGTGACAAGGGAACTAGAGAGCAGGAGGTCTTGGGAGGAATGAAGAGAGCGATTTGGTTGGTATTTTGAGAGTAGTATAGTAATGTAGCTGGGGGCCGAGTTGTGGATGGCTTTGTAAGTTGTTGTTAGTACCTTGAATTTAATTTGTTGGATGAGTGGCAGCCGGTGAAGGTATTGGCAGAGAGGGGTCGCAGACTCTGCACGGTTGATAAGGTGGATGAGCCTGGCAGCAGTATTCATGATGGACTGGAGGGGGGATAGACAATGTAAAGGTAAGCCAATGACAAGGGAGTTGCAATAGATGGAGCGAGAGATAATCTGGGAGTGAAGTAAGAGCTTTGTGGTGTCATTGGCTAGGAAGAGGTGTATTTTGGAGATGTAGAGGTTGAAACGGCAAGCTTTGGAAAATGATTGCATGTGGGGCGGAGTTCAGAGTCCAGGATTACACCTAGCACCGTGGCATGCGGGGACGGGTAGATGGTTGTGGCATTGATCTTGACAGAGAAGTCAGGGGAAGGGGTATGACATCCAGACTGATATGTCAGTCAGCAAGTTAGTGATGCGTGAGGAAACTGATGTTGTGAGCTGAGGGGTAGAGAGATAGATTTGGGTGTCGTCAGCATAGAAATGATATTGAAAGCCATGGGGGGCTATCAGCTGACCCAGGGAGGAGGTGTAGATCGAGAATAGGAGAGATCCAAGCACAGAACCTTGGGGAACCCCAATGGAGAAAGGAGGTGGAGAGGAGGCAGTAGAATTGTAAGTGACATTGAAGGTGCGGTGGGATAGGTAGGATGAGAATCAATGAAGAGTACAGTCATGGATACTAAGGGAGTAAAGTTTTGAGAGGAGAAGGGGGTGGTCAACTGTATGAAGGGCAGCAGAAAAGATCCAAAAGTAGGAGAACAAAATAGTGTTGATTGGTTTTTGCGGTTAGTAAATAAATAATTTTTGAGTTTTAGGAGAGCAGTTTCTGTGGAGTGTTGAGGGCAAAATCCAGACTGAAGGGAATCAAGAAGGTTATTCCTAATGAAGTGGTCACTCAGTTGGTTGCAGACCAGGCATTCAAGGAGTTTGGAGGAAAAGGGGAGCAAGGAGATGGGGCGAAGGTTGTTTGGTGGGGTCCAAGAAAGGTTTTTAAGTATGAGGGTGACTAATGCATGTTGTAGAGTGTTGGGGAAGGTGGCAGAAGAGAAGGAGAGACTGAAGATGTGAGTTAGAGAGTGTAGAATAGAGCCAGTGGGTGACCACAGTATTTGAGAGGGAATAGGGTCCAGGGGACAAGTGGTTAGGTGGACATTAGAAAAAGTTTATCAACCTCATCTGTAATAGCAGGGTTGAATAAGGGTAGTGTTGAGTGTACCTGTGGACATGGAGTGTTAAGTGAGAAAGTTATCTGCAGAGTGGAGATTTCATCAGAAATTGTATTGATTTTATTTTTGAAGTGATTGGCAATCTGCTGGGCAGTGAGTGAGTTAGTGGGCGGAGGCAGTGGAGGATGAAGTAGAGAGTTAAAGGGAGAGAAGAGTTAACGGGGTATAGATGAGAAGGTGTTAATGAGAGTGCTAAACTAGGTCTGCTTGGCAGTGTGGAGGTAAGAATTGTATTTTTGTATTTGTAATTTACTAAAATCACAATTACAGTGTATGGCACTGAAACCAGTGCAAGCTGGGATCACATATCACACACACCAGCAACACACTCATTGGCTCACTGGCTGTGATTGACAGTAACAGGAGCTTATCATGGACATATAAATGACCAAAGGGGCCATCAAAATATGTTGAAACACCTAAGAAAGTTCAAGCACCTACATATCTGCTTTATGTTTTTGGTATTTTACTGGCAAGTTCCTTGCTGGATTTCCTGGGGCACTTTTGCATGCCTTTACTGCTGCAGCAGAGGAAGTCTCACGTATGTTAGACTAATGCATGATATAAATTAACACAAAAAGCTATCATGGAAAGTAAGATGCCCTTGTATTTTCTGCAGCAGGTGAGAGGACTAGGGAATTTCTCCACTGGCATCCACTAGAAAATAAGTCACGTGATTTTACCTGTCATTAACAAAAAAAAAAAAATTTCATAATCCTTTAAAATACATTCATTGTATTTTCTGTATGTTGATAGGGGTCTGTTTATAACTTTTTTCACCTCATCTAAAATTTACACAACTTTCACCCAAGATTCATACATCTTCACCTAAGATTACATTTGAAAAATGTGAACCTTCGGTGACGTTGACAAATAGACAACCTAAAAAGTTGTATTAAACCCAAACACAAAAATGTTACTGTATATTTTGCAGCTAACCAATATTTAAATCTGGTGTCTGTAGTTTTCATTTTTTAGACTTTTTTCCTGTATTTTCACTAGTAATCTGGCCAGTGACACCGTTCCTGCCTTAGAGTGTTGTGGGAACTCGCTTCAAATGGTAGAGCTTTTTTAAAGCACACAACAACTTGCTTTCTTTTTAAGGGACGTTTTAGCCCACTTTTATTTAAAGAAAAAGTTCCATAAAGGTTCCCACGCAGGGGTATCCACCATCAAACAAATATTCAGCCTCTTGGCTTGTACATACAATTTTCCTCTGGCCTTCCACTTCAGGCTTACGTTTGTCTCCTGCAGACTCTTTCCAAAATGGCTTTTTTGCACACAGCTAGTCTGGCTTCCACCTCTCCTAGGTGAAGCCCTCCTGACTCCAAGGCATTGACCTCCTGTCTGCCAGGGTGGAGCCCTCCTGACTCCTGTCTGCTGGGGTGGAGCCCAGAATCATGGTTTGGGCCTCTACAAAAAGGCCTGCACACCAGTGCGCTGGCTGCTCTCAAAACCTGGACCCAGGATTGGAGATTTCATCCCTCCCATATCTCTTAGAAATCTCTAGACAACAGGACCCAAAACAGGCTTTACAAACCAAAGAGGAAACTGATAAACCAGTTTCCTCTGCATTACGAGAACTGCCTGGAGCCCCTCAACCTGTATAGTCGAGAATCCTGGGTCACCACCGTGATTTCCACCGTGGCAGGATACCGCAGTGCCACAGTGTCTACACTCTGGATGGAGGAACAACAGAGATGCCTTTGGACAAATGTTCTGGGAATAGGGCAGTGTTAGATGCACCAGAAAATTTAGATGGACTTAACTGAAATTAAACCCAAACTCTAGCTAACACTTTTTAAGCAGTTACAGCAACACTTTTTCCCCTTTTGGAATGAAGATTTCTATAAAAAAAAATAAAGCTGACCATTGTAAGCATCCCATTTAGTGTTAAATGGTTTGTCTCAATAGAGTAACTGCAACTTTTGCTGGACAGCTTGACCTGTTAAATGAAGTTGAAAAATAACAGGCGTACTGGCAGGATCGACAGATGAAAATAAAGAAAAAGATCAGGGGTCTCCAAACTTTATAAACAAAGGGCCAGTTTACTGTCCTTCAGACTTTAGGGGGCCAGACTGTGGCCAGTGGGAGAAGAAAATGTCCTGACATCAGTGGGAGTAAACAATGCCTCATCAGTGGTATTAACGGGAGATATAGTGCCCCATCACTGCTGTCAGTGGGAGGTATAGTGCCCCATCATTAGTGTCAGTAGGAGAAATAGTGCCCTATCATTGGTGTCAGTAGGAGGAATAATGCCCCATTAGTGTTGTCAGTGGAAACAATAGTGCCCCATCATTGGTGTCAGTTGGAGGAATAATGCCCAATTATTGGTGTCAGTGGAAGGAATAGTGCCCCATTGTTTGTGTCAGTGGCAGGAACTATGCCCCACTGTTGCTGGTGGCGGGGGGAATAATGCCCCAAGGGCCAGATAAAAGCAAGCACAGGGCCACATCCGGTCCCCGGGCCACCGTTTGGAGACCACTGCCTTAGATATCACACTGCAGATGTACAACTATGAGACTTTAGACACAGGCATGCCTAGGGATGTGCACTGCTATTTTTCAGGAGGAATTCAAGAAAAGGGTACTTATTTAGGGGTACTTCTTAGGTACAATTAAAATTTCTAGCTGTTCCCTATGGAATAGTAAGTATTCACTTTTTGAGTTCAGGTCCACTTTAAAAATTACACTTATCATTCTGGCATTTATAACCACAAGCAAATAAAGTTAATTTAGCAATGCCAGAGTACTAGAACAAACCTTTTGACAAGTTTAGTGTAACATTGCTGGGAAACTCCTCCTAGAACATCTGAGAGTTAATTTCTTGGTCTTCCTATGGACTAGTTCCAATTGAAAATAAATGAATGTGTTCCTCCAGGAGTTTTCCAGGGATGTTTTGTTTTAGCCAACATTACCTCGTCTTTGAGCAAAAACACATTTCTCTGAGAAAGCTTGTTGCTTCTGCTTGAACTCATGACTTGTTATTTTGATTGTGACTGCATAATGCATGATTATAAATTGAGGGACATTGGATGAATGACAAAATACACACCTCACCCACAAACCTCATAAGTGTCTTTTGGGATAAACAGATAGAAAATATTGATAATATGCAGTCTAATCAGTTGACGAATATTTGTATAAGTGCTCTAATGCAGCAGTGATAAGAAGTCTTAAAATACAAAATGTGTTTAATTGAAATTTTCCCCCCCTCCCATTTCCAGTAAACCTCAGTCTGAAACACTTAAAGCTGGCGACTTGAGAACACGCGTCAGTCGATGCCAAGTATGTATGAAGAGGACGTAACGTTTTGGAGAACTGGCTACCTGTGCAAGAAAGCTTAGGTCGGAATTGTCCTCTGTGACAATGGTGCTACTGAGTAGATAAAGTAAGAACCAGATACTGTTTTAAATAAATTCAAATGTACCTCACCAAAGTGCCATATTGAGGATTGTCTGGTGCATTTTGATGAACGGACTGAGAAAAAGATTAACCTCTGCTGAGAGAGAAACCTGAGTTTTCACAAAGGATCACATGAAGTTTTTTTCCCAGTACCATAATGGCACTTTTTTAATCAGCTACACGAAGAAACGCACTGAGTATGTTTAAAATAACGAGGCTGCAGTTTTGGAAAACATTTTTTCATGGTGCTACTAACCCTTCCATACCCTGGGTTTCAAAATATAAAAAATGCTAAGCTTATTTTTCTTTGTAAGTAATGAAATGTGTATATTGTGTAAAACACTTTTTTTTTTTTTAGTTTGTCAATGAAATAATTAAGGAAAATACAAGTATAAAATCATGTTTCACAATGTCACAAATTTGTATAAACCATCTTAGTAATTCAGCAGTATTTGTAAGAATTATAACTTTCTAACTCTTATATGAGAATACTACTGATTTTATAGCTTGCATTTTCCCCCCTTGTTCAATTGGATTGTTGGCAATGTATGATAAGTATGTCTGTGGCCATGCCTATTTTATTGTTTATACTGTCGCTGTGCAATTCCGTTTATTTGGGTATTTTTTTTTTAACGTTTTGTTTTTGTACACTGAACACAAAATATAACTAGCCATATTCTTTATAGCATTAAATAAGACAGACACAAAGAAGACATGCTTAATATGTTAGTTTAAGTGTCAGAAGCAGCCTTTTCAGGAATCACCAAAGTATTTACATCTATAAAAAAAAAGCGTTGTCATGTATCTTGAATCTAGCGTGAATGAAATAAAGAGAGATTGGCTATATCAGTATTTTACTTCTGGTCTTCTTGTGAGAAGGATTTAAAGCATTTCACTTCAAGGATATATAGGACTATTCAAATTTTTATTTTCAACAGTGTATACACTATTTTGTATAGATCAGCTATGTTTAATAAAGATTATTTTTGAGCTTATATGTTATGTGACACAATAAAGATTTTGTTACATAGTATGGATAAACATTTGAACTGTTTTTTTAAAATGTCTAGCTTTTATTCAGCTGAGTTTGTGCCAATAACCTTTGTAAGCTTGCAAATATAACAGAACTGTTATTTCCATGAGATGATATATATTTTGCAACGTCTACTTGACTATATCCAAATGGGAAATGTTTAAAGTAGGTTTGAACTCAATCATTCAATCTTTGAAGTGACTTTCACTAAATAAAAATGAAAAGAAAAAAAAAAATATATATATATATAAAAAAAAAACTTCCAGGAAAAGATCCAAAATCTCAAGCATCCAACATACTTGTACCCTCAACTGTGCAATGTGGTTCCATCTTCTGGCCACTATTTCAATGCTTTGTCTGTGGGACAGGTAAATATCAACCACTTCACATCTCACTCCCCCTGTAGACCAGAGGAATTTTAATATTTCTGCCATGGACTTGTTTATTCAGGAAAACTCTTGTCATTACTTTATTTATTTTATTTCAGGTACTTATATAGCGCCGTCAATTTACGCAGTGCTTTATATATATATATATATATATGTACATTCACATCAGTCCCTATCCCTCAAAGGTCGTACAATCTAAGGTCCCTAACTTGCATTCATACATACACATACTAGGGACAATTTAGATAGGAGCTAATTACTTAAGATAGCAAAGTAATACATAGCTTGCTTTTTTGTTTTTTAAATACAAACAAGGCATCATTTTCATGATATTGTCTTGAAAAAATATTTGTAATAATATTGCAATCCTTAGACAAAAAAGTAACAATGCTACTAGAATTTAAAAAAATTGTGTTACTGTAGATAAAAAGTAACATTTTATTCTAAAATTTGTTTAAAATGACACTAAAATTATGATTATGGCACAAAGAATGTTTAACTGTGAGAAAAAAATCAGCAAAATAAAAAAAGCTTGAACATTAATGGTTAATAAAATACAAATAAAACAAAAAAATCAGCAGAAAAATAACAGTTGAAGGGAAAGAATGTCTTGCTAAATTATTTTTTTACATACAAGCAAAATACAGTACTGTGCAAAAGTTATAGGCAGTTGTGAAAAAATGCTGTAAATGAAGGATGCTTTCAAAAATATATATTTTATTTGTTTTTTTAGAAGTTTACAAAATTCAAAGTGAGTGAGCAAAAGAAAAATCTCAATCAAATCAATACTTGGTGAGACTACGCTTTTTACTTGAAACAGCATCAATTCTTCAAGATACACACACAGTGCTTATGCACACAGTTTTTGAAGGAGCTTGGCAGGTATGTTGTTCCAAACATCTTGGAGAACTAACCACAGATCTTCTGTGGATGTAGGCTGCCTCAAATCTTCTGTCTCTTCAAGTAATCCCAGACAGACTCAATGATGTTGAGATCAGGACTCTGTGGGGGCTAAACCATCACTTACAAGACTCCTTGTTCCTTAAGCTGAAGGTAGTTGGCTGTATGTTTGGGGTTGTTGTCCTATTGCAGAATGAATTCGGGGCCAATCACACACCTCCCTGATAGTACAGCATGATGGATAAATATCTGCATGTATTTCTCATTGAGGACACCATTGATCGGGCAACATTGAAGACCTTAGATGCAGTGGTCAGACAAGAAAACCTAATGCAGCAGTTGAAAGACACATCTTGCTTACTTCCCTTAAACATCAGAAGATGTCCAGTAATGCCATCAGCACAGAACTGGCAGAAACCATTGGGACACAGGTATCCCCATCTACTGTCTGGAGAAGTCTGGCCAGAAGTGGTCTTCATGAAAGAATTGCAGTCAAAAAACTATACCACCAATGTGGAAACAAGGCTAAGTGACTCAACTATGCACAAAATCATAGGAACTGACAGCAAGTGCTCTGCATTGATGAGTTGAAATTTGAAATATTTGGCTGTAGCAGGAGGCAGTTTGTTCAAGAAGGGCTGGAGGGCGGTACAATAATGAGTGTCTGCAGGCAACAGTGAAACATAGTGGAGGTTCTATGCAAGGTTGAGGCTGCATTTCTGTCATGACATACAATCAGGGAGACATGGGATTGCCCCAGATTTATTCAGCAGCAGTACAACAACCCCAACATACAGCCAATGTCATTAAGAACTATCTTCAGCGAACAGAAGAACAAGGAGTCCTGGAAGTTAAGGTTTGGCCTCTACAGAGCCCTGATCTCAACATCTTTGAGTCTGTCTGAGATTACATGAAGAGACAAAAGGATTCGAGGCAGCCTACATCCACAGATCTGTGGTTAGTTCTCCAAGATGTCTGGGACAACCTACCCGAGTTCCGTTAAAAAGTGTGTGCGTAAGCACTGTTAGTACCTAGAAGAATTGACACTGGTTTAAAGCCGAAGAGTAATCACCTCAAATATTGATTCGATTTGCATTTCTTTTCTGTTCATTTACTTTCCATTTTCTTCATTGATAAAAAGAAACTATTAAGGGCCCTTTCACATGGGTGGAATGATTGGGTCCACCTATCCGTTTTTTCAGGCAGACCCGATTGGGACATCCATTGTTCTCTGTGGGGAGGTGGATGTAAATGGACATGTGTCTGTTTGCACCCACCTGCATCTAATTTGTTAAGAACAGACAGAAGGGGATTCATTCCCCATCCGTCTAGAGGATTGAATGACAGTCAAATGTAAATGGACAGACAGTCCGTGTACATCTGACCTCCCCATACAGAACAGCGAGCTGTGTCTGTGTCCGTTCTGCACAAGTGGAGCAGAGACAGACCTGTCATCCACCTGCTCAGTGGGGATCAGCGGACAGATCCCCTGCTGAGCAGGTGCATCTGCTTGGCGGAGTCTGCCTGTGTGAAAGGGCCCTAACACTCCTATTTCTGAAAGCATTCTTAATTTACAGAATTTTTTCACAATTGCCTTTAACACAGTACTTTGTATATTTAGAATTTACCTTAAAATAGGTTATCAGTGGTAAGATAAAAACAAAAAGTCCAAAATACATATACACATTTGGGATTCTGACCAATAATTTCAGTAAATGAAGATGTGTTGTCAGTCATGTATAATCTTTGCCAAAATGTTTTGGTCAACTGGTTGATCACAATTAGAACATCGCTTTCTATTTACTGTACTTACTGCAATGAAACCTTACAGATCTTATTTTACATTCCTTTCTTTAACAAAATGGTTTGACTGACTGGCCCACTGCAAACAAATGAAGAAAAAATATTTTATGTAAACCTATTAATGTTAAATTCTATTCATTGCTGGAACTTTGCAGAGCTTTGCTCATAAAGGATTGGGTGCTGTCATATTTTGTGTATAAAACATGTTTTATGTGGCTTAAATTTAAAGTTTTATACAGGGCTGGCTTTAACAAAAAGTGCAGCTACCCCAGGCCCAGTTCTTGTAGGGCCCAAAGCAACTCCCCCTTGAGCCTGCGCTGCTTGCAAATTGGGGGGCCCCATCATGGAGCGTTGGTGACTGTGACCAGGTACATGGAAGGCAGGGAGCTGCGCTGTGCTGTACCTTCATTCCCCAGCCAACAAGGAGAGGGCCCCATGCAGCCTGTATGCTCAGGACTTGGGAGGCCACGGGATAGGAGCTGAAATTGGAAGTGAGAGCAGCAGGTGGCAGCACGGAGAGCCTGCGGATGGTAAGCCCGGCTGGCCGGGAGTTCAGGACCAATTAGGTGACGATTCTTCTCCCCATAGCGCAAAAATATATCCAAAAGCGCTGTTGGACTTACTGCACTTGGCTTGGCTTAGTGTTTCTCACATGCGATTATCCTCCATAAAAAAGATTATATTGCATTAAATAAACCTGCTTGGAGATGTACCGAAAGCCAAATTTCTGGACTTGTGGATTTTATCAGCAAAAACTTCTTTTTCTTACACATCTCCAA